CTTTTTCTAATTGTTGGAGATGTTGGTTTAAAGTGTTGATTTTGGCTCTTCTCTTTTGATGTGTGCATTTATTGCTATAAATTGGCCTCTGATCACTGCTTTTGCTGTGTCCCAAAGATTTTGGTATGTAGTGTTTTCATTCTCATTTGATCAAGGAATTTTTCAATTTCACTTTTTATTTCTTCTCTTACCCAGTCTTTCTTAAGGAGGGTGTTGTTCAGTTTCCAAGTGTATACTCTTGTTCCATTGATCTTCCTATTGTTAATTTCTAATTTGATAGCATTATGATTTGAGAAGATGCTTTGCAGTATTTCAATGTTTTTAAATTTATGAAGGCTTGCTTTATGACCTAACATATGGTCTATCATGATGTTTCTCCATGTTCACTGGAGAAAGATTGTATGTTTTGCTGCTATTGGGTGAAGTGCTCTGTAGATATCTATAAGGCCAAGTTGGTGGATTGTATTGTTTATCTTTTCTGCCTCTTTGTTGAGTTTCTTTCCAGTTGTTCTATATTTCATTGAAAGTGATGTATTAAAGTCTCCCACTATGATTGTGGAGTCATCTATTTGCCTTTTCAATTCTTTTACAGTCTGGTTTATGTATTTTGGGGCTCTTTCATTGGGTCCATAGATATTTGTTATGATTATATCTTCATGTTCAGTTGATCCTTTAATCGTTATATAATGTTCTTCCTTGTCTCGTATGGTGTTTTTTCTTAAACTCAATTTGATCAGAAGTTAATATTGCCACTCCTGCTCTCTTATGGTTGCCGTTTGCTAGATATATCTTTTTCTAACTTTTGCTGTTTAGTCTATTTTTGTGTTTGTCTCTAAGATGTGTCTCTTGTACATAGCATATTGATGGGTTTTATTTTCTTATCCAATCTGCAACTCTCCCTTTCTTGAGTGGTGCATTTAATCCATTAACATTCAGTGTAATTTTTGACAAGTATGAATTGGTTGCTGTCATTTTGTTATGTGTTTTTTCATGGTGTCCATGATTTCTTTGTTTCATATTATTTTCTGTGCTGAGCTCATTATGTTTATGATTCATGTTATCATTTCCTTTGTTGCTGTTGTTTTAGTATTTGCTGAATATTTGTGTTTGTCCCCATTTTTATTGTGTTGTGAAGGTTTACAATTTTTCTTTGGGGTTACCCTGTGATTTATAATTTTCTCCCCATGTTTAGAATAGTCCATTCTATCTTGCAACTTTCCTGACTTCCTCACTTTTTAGAAGTTGTGTAACTATGCTGTATTTTCGCTCTTTTTCATTTATAGTTGTTCTCCTTTGCCAATTGATATCTCTGGTTCCCTTTTTTCTATCTTTTAAGCTTATTTTACTTTGAATATGTCCATAGATGTCATGTCTAGGTTATGTCATCTTGTGTATTATTGGTTGGTTGTTATTTGCTATTTTTGGTTCTCTGTTTAAAGGACTTCCTTTAGTATCTCTTGTAAGGTTGGTCTGGTTTTTAAAAATTCCATTAATTTCTGCTTATCTGGAAATCTCTTAATTTCCCCATCATATTTGAAGGACAGTTTTGCCGGGTATATAATTCTTGGTTGAAAATTTTTCTCTTTCAGGGTTTTATGTATACCATCCCATTGCCTTCTCACTTGCATGGTTTCTGCTGAGAAATCAGAGCTTATTCTTACTGGTTGTCCTTTGTAAGTAGCTTTTTGTTTTTCTCATGCT